TTGCTGCTTAAAGTGCCTTAGATTTTGTGTTACTTATTTATCTACTTTATATTTCATTTGTATTTTGTGGCATTCATGTGGACGGCAAAGTAAGAATTTCATTGTACAGGGAAACACGTTTCCTAACTGTGCACATGACAAAATAAACACTTTGAACTTTGAACTTGAACATGTAGGTTTGTTGAACTAAGTAGGTGGAAATTTGTAGATTCAAATTGACAAGTAGACTTTAATGAGCCAGCACTCAACAATTTGTACCAGAGTAGGCTATTTCGATGATTTTGTTTGCAATTTGCAAAATATTACATAGAAAAAATATGTTATATCTATACACTTATGATGGACTCATTTAGATAAATCATTGTATACACAGTGAATACAGGAGAACTTTAATTGCTGATGTTTGCATTAGTTGTTCTATATACATTGGATCCACTTATGGCCAGACACAGCACTTACAGCTGTCATTAAAGATAGATCCTGTCCCGCAGTACCTCACATGGGTAATGCCACCAGCACACATGTAAAAGCTGGTTTTGTCATCTTCGTTGGTGTACAGTCCATCAGGCTTGCCATTGCAGAAGCCGGGTCCTGGTGCATGAGTGGTGGTGGTAGTAGTGGTGGTTGTGGAGGTGGTGGTAGCACCAGGTTTGGGGGTGGTAGTAGTGGAAAGTGGGGGCACCTCTGGATGGGAGAGGGACAAGAAATGTATGTTATTTAACATTTGCCTGCAACTTGATTGTGACTGTAATGTGCAGTATAGGACAGCTCTTTGCTTTATTACACGACTTTATTATCCCAATAATTTACTGTGAGGATGGGTTATTGTCAGTGCTTACAGTAAAGATATTCACAGCCCTCCCAACATGCTGTTACCTATAAATATAAATATTAAATCTAATAAATATAAATATACCTATACCATTTGGAACACCCATGGTAGTATTTATTTACATTGTTAATGTTAATGCCTTTAGTAACTGTAGCTGTCCACAATGGTATCTGACAAACCTGATGTTGATACAAACAACTTAAATCATACCAGGATATGAACTCAACTTACTAATATCAAGAAGTTTTTGGAGATGAGACATCAGAGGGTGTTTGCCCTGTGCACAGAATCGTCCAGCAAAGTCATCCAAATCAAGGGCCCACACAAAGGCACCACCAAATTTCTGCTCCTGTAGGTACCTCACCTATTCAAAAATAAATAGAAATTAGTGTAAATACCTTGGATATACTGTAAATATTAAAGTTATAAAGCTCATATGCCACCTACCTTAGTCTCATAACTCTCCCTGGTGTCAAATCCCACCCATTCATTGTTCTTGGTGGCATAGGGGACTTTCTGGTCTTCAATCCACTGAATTTTGGTATCCTTCGCAAAGCCACAGATCTAGACAGTGGGGAATATCATAAACCATCAAAACTATTAAACGCAACTGACAAACAGTGGCTTCAGAAAATATTTAGATTCCTTTAATCTTCACACATGTTTCTGTGTTTAAATTGATCAAATTACAATTTTGCCCCTCGGTCTACCCTCAATAACCCATAATGACAAACTGAAAATGTTTATAGAATTTGCTTGCAAATTTATTTACATTGAAACCTCTCATTTACAAAAATATTTAGGCACTTTGCTGTGGTGCTCCAGATCATAATCACATGCATCCTGTTACTTTTAATTAACCTTGAGATGTGTGTACTATATGACTGGAATCCACCTGTGGCAAACTGAATTACACACCTGTGTATATAATGTACTACAGTTAACATTACATGTCAGGACAAAAACCAAGGCATGAAGGGTCTGAACACAGTATTTGATTTTTAATAACAAATTCCTATCACACTCAAACATTACCTCATAGTAGGACCAGAATCCAGCTTCACGTGTGTATGGACCAGCTGATGCAGGGCCACTAGCTGGGGCTCCAACACCAGTTTCTGATGACGTCAGGCGAAAGGTACGACCATAAGTAGCAAAACCCATCCTCAATTTCTCCAGTGGAGCGCCATTGTCTCTCCAGTACTTCATGGCAAAGTCCTAGAAAAGTCAGTGGAAATGGTGAAGTAAAACATTTTAAAAAGGTACCCCTCAAGTTAAATTTATGTAAGTCTCAAATGTGGACATACTGTGTTGAAGTAGATTAGATCACCAAAGTCCTTTGAACCACGGAACAGAGGGCTGTTGTGTCCAGTGAACTGTTCCCAAGTTCCATGAAAGTCATACGTCATCACACTGATGAAGTCCAGTTCCCTAAGGATAGGGAAAAACAGAAAGACTAATTTCAAGCATCTTTGCAGAACTCACACCTTTCTCTTTACAGATATATTCAAGACAGCACACTCACTTGGCAATTTCAGCAATCTCATATCCACCATCAATAGTTCCCTTTCCAGCAGACACTGCAGCAGTCAGCATGAGCTGATGATTGCCAGTGGCCTTGGCCTCAGCTGCATAGGCAGCAACGAGTTCCTGCAAATACCAAAAAAAAAAAAAAGTCAAATGAAGTACAACATGATGTAAACATCACAGTAGCTGTGAATTGCAACTAGAAATACTCACCCTACAGAGCAGAGTGAACCTCTGTTTGTCTTCTGGGGGACTTCCACGAGCACCAGGGTACTCCCAGTCCAGATCCAGACCATCAAATCCATGAGTTCTCAAGAATTTGATAGAAGACTGTATGAATTTCTGCCGGTTAGCTGGAGTAGACACCATGATGGAGAACCTGCGGGGAATCGAGCTCTGTTATCAACAATCCACATCCAACAGGTTTCCCAGAAGCTATGGGTTGCTAAGGGCTAAAATGACTGCAGTTTTAAAGCCATGCATGCTTAATATTTGGGATGTTTTGGAATGGATTGTTTACATGTCAGTTTGATGGCTGCCATGTGAGTAGTTATTCATTGTTGTTTTGTTCTAAACATGCAGTAAAGTAAGAAGAAGTAGGCCTATTAGAAATGGCTGTAGGTTCTGGTTAGGTGAGATTAAAAAGCTAATAAAAACAAAACTGATATATTTAGCCCATTTTTGTCACACTTAACACTTCAGTGGACTTTCAGGCTGTGTTGTTGAATGTAGCTATTGTAGTGGTAACAAACTATAGTGTGCTGTACATCTATATGGGTGAGTGGTACGTTGTGCTTACAGTATGTTGTAAAAAGTTACTCACTGTTGTGAACCAAAGTTCCATCCACCAACACCCAGCAAAGTCTTCAGATGAGGATTCCTGAAAACAGCAGAGGCTAGATTACCACCATACATTTGTCAAGCTTGCAATTACTTGTAATCTTTGTGTTTGAGTCATCAAAACCTCATTTTCAGCAAATATTGCCCTGCTGAATTCTTCTTGTATTGGGGCTAAACTTCTGTGTGCTTCATGGGTATCACAGCTTACCCTGACCGTTGACTTCTATACAATATAAGGGTACCTCACTGGCCACTTACTTGGTCTTCAGGGCATTGAAAGACTTGTAGAGGACATCATCATTCCACTCATAGGGAACCAACTCATTGTTATGGTTAATGATGGAGAAGGCATAAATCAGGGTGGTGCAAAGGAAGGGGTCCACATCTTGTGGCAAGAACTTGCCCTCACCAGGTCTGTACTGGGACCAGTTAGTGAAGTAGCACACCATCTTGGTGGCAGATCCTGGATTGAAGTAAATTAACATCAAAGAAGCATTGATTTCAGAAATGACATAGTAGTGAAAACTTCAAATCAAATGATGCGAGTTGACCTGAAAGTGTTAGGACCTACCCAGCTGACATATCACCAGACATAAGCCTAAAGAATATAACAATGTAAAGGTTAGAGAAATAAAAACACATATTCTAAAACATAAAAATGTTAATGAAAAGTAATACCATACATACAGCATGAAACTAAAGTAAATACCTGTTAAAATTGTGAGCCTGGTCATTTTGAATCCACTTCTCACAACTTCACTGGATTGCTATAAGACAAAAAGTGAAGCAGGGTCTGTGAATGAAGTGACACAAGAAAGAAAAGAAAGAAAAAAATTCTTAACATAGTCACAATTCAAATGATCACTGAGAGGGATTACTTTTCCCTTGTAAACTCACCTTGGGACCAGATGAAAGAACCAAACAAATGCAGCAAAGTTGGTCCTTTATACAGTTCTTTGTGCATAGAGAAAGGAGGAGGTGCAGTGGCCTTTGATAAATTGGGGCAATAAATGCAATAATTATTAGAACATGTTTTGATAAGATCCTGCAAAGTTGGAAACATATGTAGACAATCATTTACTCACTGCAGCACTCTGTTCACAGCATGCACTCAACACATATAGTGGTTGTAATTTAGGTCAGTGGACATATCACTCGTTATCATAGAACTGACCTCAGAGCACTATGGGTCACAGTCCTGATATTTTACTTTAGTCTGGAAAAGTGTTTTGTTGTACTGTTGTCAGTTTCAAATTTAAATTTTTAAATAAATGTATTTATTTATTATAAATGTAATAAATTTAGCTGATCTCATGTGCATCCCTGTCTTCAACAATGGTTATTGACTAAAACTGAACAAGGGATGTTGTTTTATCACACACCATGTGTCTGTTGATTCCTAGGTTTTCATGACGCCCTGGATTTTTCATTTCATTGAACAATATACAGAAGTAAAGTAATTAATAGAACAATTATTCATTCATTCATTCATTTTCTACCGCTTAGTCCCTGAACGGGGTCACGGGTGGGGCCGGAGCCAATCCCGGCCAGCAATCGGGCGAAGGCGGGGTACACCCTGGACAGGTCGCCAATCCATCGCAGGGCATAGAACAATTAATGAATAAAAAAATGATTAAAAAGATATTTAAGCACTTGAGCTTTAGCACTCAAAAGATAATGCTTTTAGTCATTTGTTTTAAAGGGATACACCCAATTTTGGATATTACTGATCTTGTGCTCCACTGGGTTTTAGGTTCAAGGTTCAAGGTTCTAGGATTTTATTGTCAATTCACCATATGTGCAGGGCATACAGAAAATTGAAATACCATTTCTCTCTCACCTAGTATTGGGTGCCAAAACATTTAGGAACCAAAAGAGTAAAGTAGAATAAAAAATTGAATAGAATAATAACTGGATTAAAAGCACTTGTAATGTGAGATGAATCCATCCTTCCATCAATCCAATCTATACTGCTTATCCTGAATCTAATGCAATGAAAAAACAAATCTAATGTAATGTAAAAACTAGTAATATTTCAAATGAGTGAACCATAGTTCCCCCTGAACATGTGTTTATTCAGTGTGTCCTGACTCACTGACACTTTGCTTATACTGGTTCATAGCTCCCCTCCTTCCCTCTGTGGGACCCTGTCATGAGTTTTCTTAGTCATTAGCACCACCTACAGACTAAGTGAAAAGCTCTTGCCCATAACCCTCATTTTGCTTCTGTTACTTTGAGACACTGTGACCAGCAAATGTCCAGTTAACATAGCATTTAAAAATATTTAGTAAAATAAACACTTTAAAATAAAATGCAATCAAATACACAACTATCACCAGCTAGAGCAAACACTGACAGCAAAAATACTGTCTGTGAACATGTGTTAATATTTCTATATCTGTCCTATGTAACTGCTGTGAGATGAGATGATAATGTGTTTTCCCTTTAGAAATTTCCTTCCGCAGCCTCCTTTGTATTCTTCACATAGGGCATTTGTGTCACAATTATGTATGGTGACCCCCAAAAGTGTCTTTACAATCCCTTTAAAAGAATCTGATTAAACCTTAATTGAGTATTAAATGAAAGTAACTTCTGGTCCTTTGAAGTGAAAATCTCTACATAATAATATGGAAGTGTTTTTATTGCTCCTATATTCCAAGTGGTTTATAAAGTACCAAAGGGCATGCGTGATATGGTGGCGGGGAATGCCAAAGGTAAGGTAAGACATTCTGGCAGGCGATCATCTGAGATGTACGTGTCTTGTTATGTAAAGTAGCAGGCAACTAGAGCTGTCAAATGTAATGGTCAAATGTAATGGAGTAAATGTGCAATATCTGCCTCTGAAATAAAGTAGTCAAAATAAAAATACTCAAGTGCAGTGTAAGTACATCAAAATCATATTTGGGTATGTGAATAAATTCATCCTCAGATTTTGCAGGACATCACCAAATGAGGTATGATCAGCTTTGCTGAATACTTCATATATAAGGTACAGTATATAGAGATGTGTAGGGTAAAATGTTTAATTTGTCATAATTCTTTTATTATGATGGAAGATTTATAAATTGTATTTTTGCCTTTTTCTAAACAACACAATGCAAAAGCATTTTATATTCAAATAGTACAAAAACAAATCCTTTTCCAGAGGCATTTCTAGCCAGCCACAGTGAGGGCCACACACAGCACTTGCTGGCTTGTTTTTGCAGAACCATTCTGTGATGGAGATGGTAGTCTTTATGGATGGAGTACCGGTGGTGCCTCCTGGTTTGGGGGGTTGTTGTAGAGGCTGGTGCAGCAGTGGTGGTAACCGGTTTGCAAGATGTGGTAGTGGCTGGCACTGTGGTAGTAACACAAGGTTTCTTGGTTGTGGTCGATGGAAATGAAGGCACCTCTGTGAGAGGTGAAGGAAACAAAAAAACAACATTAAACTGAAAGCTGACATATCACTTGTATAAAAGATACCACTTGAGTTCCCAAAAACCTACCAAGAGCTCAGTGTGCCACATGATAACACTAAAGGTATGAGAAGCAAGATTTACCAACATCAATAAGTTTGCACAAAGCAGAGCCAGAAGAGGACGGCTTTCCAGCCTTTCCGCAGGTTCACACAAAACACCACTATACTTCATGTCCAGAAACACAGAACTTAATACATTTACAGGTTTTTGGGCTAACCCCTTACAGAGACAGATTATGAGATGGAGACAATCCAGCATCTCCTTTTCTTATCTAGAGTTTCAGCTGCATGGAGCCGCTGGCCATAACAAAATGAAGAATTCCGTGTGTGTGTGTTGTTACGTGGTGTGTAACTAAAACATTCATTCAGACATAATTCTAACACAAGCATCATGGTGATGTAAAGTTCTAAATTTACCTACTAGAATAGTTGGTTTGGTTATCTTGATTTAAAAACTCACAACTTCAGCTTCTTTTTTCTCAGACTCAAGAAAAAACAATTAAACAAAATGAATATTAAGTAATCACATTTTGATTGAAACTATTAAAACTATTCTAATGAATGTTACAAACACAGTTTTTTGAAAGAATGAACTATAAAACAATTTCATCCTGAGGCTTCAAAGTGCAATATTGACAGATACTTTAAAGCAAACTTACCTTAAAGATTGAATTTAATAATTTCAATTTTCATAGCAAAAAATAACATTAAAAACAACTGTATCCCATTGAGCTGAGCTGGCCCCAGGGTCCTGGAAGTGTGTGTGCTAGGTCACTGCTGGAGCTGAGCCATCATTAACAAAATTTTGGTTTACCTGCTGTGACAAGTCAAAATATCTGCTGTGATAAATGTATATAATCCTTTGTGAAAATGATAATAGTGGCAATAACATACATTTAACCTGTAGCATATTGATAAGAACATGATTTTACTGAACAAACATCCATATGGTTAGGATCTCTCCTGAGTTGTCTCCAGCCTGGCGGTCTATACAATCTACCTGTTTGTCCTATGTCGCCGCCTCATCTGCCCTCTCCTCGTTGCTGCCTGGATTGCCTCAGTTTGGTGTCCCAGCTCACCTGTCTGTTCCCAGTTGCTGAGCAAGTAACCTCCAGCTCAGTCTTAGCCCTCCTCGTTTGCCATCTCCTCATTGCTGCCTGGGTTGCCTCAGTTCAGTGTCTGTATTTTCATGACTTAGCTATAATGTAGATATCTTGTAGACTTAATCTACAACTATGTAAAGTCTTACACAATAGTTTATGGATTTCCTTGAATTTTTATGTTCTTCTGGCTGTGCACGTTCATGTGCACTTGCCTGACATCCACTGGTGCCATATAAAAAGTGGAATTTTCCAACTGCATGTGGTTTTGTGGATATATTTTACCTCCTGCTCTGCTGCACTGTGACCAGAGGATGTGGAGGAAAACACAGGGCCTGAGGTTACTGCATGTCCGGGAATGTTCATGTACAGGGACTCACTCTTTTATCTGACCAGGTCTAATGTGGCATAATGGACCAGCTGGAAACCTACAAGCAGCTGGCCAGTGAAGCACTCTGGGGCAGTGAATGATCAGTTAATCAATGCTGGGTTCCCCCAGAGCATAGTAGATAAGAGTATACAAATACCCCTTCTGTCAATCTAGTTGTGAACCGGATATGTTTTTGATCCTGATCCTAATTTAAATTGAGACTACTCCTCTTATAGAACAAAATAACAGGGCAATCAGATGTGGACTATTAAATATATCTCTCTTGTCTAAATCTTTGTTAGTGAATGACTTAAGAAGTGAATTTCACATTTATTTATTTACTGAAACCTGGTTACAGCAGGAAGAATATGTTAGTTTAAATGAATCCACCCCACCTGGTCTGCCAGTAACTGTCACAGGCCGAGGTGGAGGTGTGGCTGAAATCCTCGACTCAAGCCTATTTACCAACCATAAACTTAAACATAAACGTTCTAACTCATTTGAAAGCCTTTCCCTGAGTCTCTCACCCAAACTGGAAAACTCAAAAGCCTTGGGTTCAGATCAGGGGGCCATTCCTCCCAATCACGCCCCTTCAGCTGTCACTGTCATTGCCCATGTGGGCGTTGAAGGCCCCCAGTAGAATGACCCGGCACCCCTCCCAGAGACTCCAAGAAGGCCGGGTACTCTGCACTGCCATTCAGCCCATAGGCACAAACGACAGTGAGAGACCTATCCCCGACCCAAAGGCACAGGCAAACGACCCTCTCGTTCACTGGGGTAAACTCCAACACATGGCGGCTAAGCTGAGGGGCTATAAGCAAGCCCACACCAGCCCACCGCCTCTCACCATGGACAACTCCAGAGTAGTGGAGAGTCCAGCTGCTCTCGAGGAGTATGTTTCCAGAGCCCAAGCTGTGCATGGAGGTGAGCCCGACTATCTCTAGCAGGTACCTCTCAAGCTGGGGCTCCTTCCCCACCAGCTAGGTGACATTCCATGTCCCCAGGGCTAGTCTCCATGTCCAGAGA